TGAGCGAGCGAGCGAAAAAAAAACGCGATTAAAATGCGGTCGGTTTCCGGTCGGACAAGACCGCGTGGTCGGAAATTAAGCGATAAGCGGTCGATGTAAAAGCGGAAGGTTGGGCGAAATGAGTACTGTATGACCATGTTTCTCCGACCATGGAACTATAAACCATGCTCCGACGAAGTCTCGACTGACAATAATGCTGACAATGGACGTTAGATAAACACGCATTGTTTGCAACTGGAAGCTTATCACCCGTTATATCAGAATCGTCAACAACAGAGTATACAGATAAGATGTTATCATTTAATACCTTCCAAAGATAAACACTATGCAAATATCCACGAAACGGCAGTTGTAGTTTGTAGTCTTTTCTGCTAGTGTTTTCAAACACTAATTTGAGCAACGTTATTTCGCAATTTCGATCTTTTGTAAACCTGGGGTGATGTATCAAGGTCTAAAGTAACCGTTTTATCAATTTTTGAAAAATCAAGAAAAAAGTGAAAATTTCCCTTCTCACTACCTTAAAATGGTTGAGCCGTCCTCTTGAATCAGTTTCAGCCAAAATCTGACCATTTCAATATTAACATAAACTCTAACTGAGTGTCTCCGTAATTCTCCCCTTACTGCAGCATTGGAAGCGTTGAAACTAACTCTCAATAGAAATTTACAAAACTTATTTTGTACTTTTTCTATGTCAGCTATTACACCCCGCATTCCCCACACACAACTACCATATGACAAAATTGGCAATATTTTACAGTCAAATACTTTGCATGCAAGATCAGGCTGCAGTCCCCCCAACCCCATAATGGTTTTTTCCAAACAAAATAGTGCTTTTCTAGCTCGCGCCGAGATATCTTTCTGTGTTTGAAACCATTTTCCCAAACTCGAAAAAACTATGCCTAAATAATTATATTTTGCTACAATTTCAATTTCTTTAAGGTCATTTATGTAAAAGCAAAACAGTAAAGATGATATAACAGAACCCTGCTGCAGCCCAACATTAATATGGAAAAATTTAGTAACTCCCTTTGGGTTTTTCACAGCAGCCTTAATATTTTGATACATAGAATAAAGTGATTTAAACAATTTCCCCTTAATCCCAATTTTTGACAACTTATAAAATAATGAACAATGGTGTACTCTATCATTGATAACAATGATCTGTCTATCCATCTTTAGACAAAAACCAAAAAAAAGTACACTATATGATGAAGCTGGTTTACTGATAGAAGATGGCAGAGACCTTTGTGATTGTTTGGATGATCTTTGTCCTGGTTGTCACTATCCATGTCCCAAGTGTGGATCTGAGAAATGTGGAGGAGAATGCAGATGTAATCGGCGATGGATATATGAACAGATTGAAGTTGAAGGTTCCGGAGAGATCATCAAATTTAACTATAATCCTAAAATGACATAATACTGTGTCACACTACATATCGAAATATGATACTATGTATTAAGACTCATTAATATGTAGCAAGATTTGGTGTTACTTCTGTTAATGTGTATCAAAACTTTATACTATTTATTTGAAAAACGAGGAGCTCCAAGTACAATGTGAATACAGTGCTTTCAGAAAAGTTGTTTCCATATTTGATAAGTAGGTTATAACAAATGTAAGAAAACTGGATTGGCTATAATAATTTGCATGCTGTGCTGCAAAGCCAATCAGCTTTGTTTTACTCCAATCTGCCCCAGTGCGTGTGTGTGAGATATCTCAGGAACCGCATGTTAGTTTTCAATGAAACTTGGTGCATAGCTACTGGGCTAATGCACAGATTTGATTAGGTTTTGATTGAAATCTATGCATATTTAATACCTAATTTGCATGATAATTAGCTAATTTTTAGCTGTTTCATGACTGTTCAACTGATATCTAAAGAGCCATTCATTGGATTTTGATGAAACTTGGTACACAGGTGCTCTGGACTAATGCACAAATTTGACAGTTTTGGGTAAAGATCCATGCATATTAATTACCTAGTTTGCATAGTGATTAGTCAATTTTCGATTTTTCCACTGATATCTCAAGTACTAATCATCACATTTCAATGAAACTTAGTACCGATACATAGATGTCATAGGACAATTCACAGATCTGATAGGTGAAATATTATTTACCTAATTTTCAGCTTTTCACATTTCAAGTACTAATCATTACTTTTCAATGAAACTTGGTACATAGATGCTCTAGAACAATGCAAAGACCTGCTTAGTTTTGGGTTAAAATCAGATATTTGTTTTCTAATTTGCTTAATAATTCATAATTTTTTGGTTTTGATCACATTTCAAGGAAAATTCGTACATAGGTGTTCTGTGATAGTGCTCATCCTAATTCAATGAATCTTGTTACATATATATTGTAACACAATGTGACGATCTGAGTAGTTTTGGGTTTATATACATCTATAATAATTACCTAATTTGCATAATAATTTACGTTTCAGCTTTCCACTAATTTAGTTAGGATTAATCATCACATTATAATAAACTTTGTACATGTGCTCCCTGAAACAATATACAGACCTAAATCTATGCATAATAATTGCTTAATTTGTATAATAATTTATTTGGTTCATTAGGGTAATCCAGACATGATTAGTTTGATGTTGAAAAACATACATATCTATTATTAGCCCATTTCTGATATCTAAAAATAAATCAGATTCAAGTTGAATTCATCACAGAGGTGCTCTGGAATTAGACTAAAAACCATGGATGAAAAATCAAATGTATTTTCTGTATGGTACCGGGTATTATAAATTTTGATAATGTGAATCACGATGTTTTCATGTTGTGCATCTCAAATAGCAGCAAATATTAGTTGCCAAATTTAAAATTTTTAACTAATTTTTAATGCCTCCAATACACACGGATATTTCTTTCTAAGCTTTCTTTTATTTAACTTATTTCTGACTGCAAATTTGCAGACTGGGTCGTTCATTTCAGGGTTTTGATCCTTCTGATTGGTCAGAGGTAATTTCAAATTTATAAATATTTTATGTTTATAAACCAAAAACTGGAAACAGCTTTTCTGGAAGCATGTCTTGTGATCTCCTCAGACTGTAAGAGTTTGAAAGTTCAATATATTTTTGTAATAAAACTAAGTTTATTTCTGGTTCCACACATGATTGATAAACCCACTGCCTTTAATACAAGAAAGATGTACATATATGTTGGATGACTTTTTTATTGTTGCTAAAAATAAAGTACAAGATGGGATATTTGGTTTTATGATCTATCGCTTTGTGACTAAGCTGCTCTTCCTGATCTTGGTACTAAGATTTTATGAACATTATTTTGTTTAAAAATACCCACAAAGATGACTAAATCTCAACAAAATATTGTTTTAGACACAACTGCATGGGAACAATTTACATTTGACTACAAAAAATTATATCACTTTGCCAGCATTAGCTGAGACAAATAATACATTATTCTGTCTCTTTACAACACACACAGAAAAGGTAAACATCACAAAAACATTATTTTAATATTAAAGTGAACATTTAGCACATTTCTATTTGCTTAATATGTAAATCTGAAAATGTAAATCATTCTCATCATTTGCAAGTTGGCTAAACAAAGTAATATTTTAAGAAAAAAAAAAATACTGATAGTTATCAAAGAATTGTTTTTCATTTGATATTTGACTCCATTTCTGTCGGTTGTAACCTGAAGGACCTACAGTTTATTTATATCAAAAATCCATGCGCATGCATACACACGTACATGTGGCCTTGTTTTCTAGACTTAAACAAGACCTACTTCATTGCAAAATTGCTTAAAAGAAAAAGCTTAATCGAGTGTCATGTAAATATTATTAACAACTGTACTAGTGACATCCTCTCCTGAAAGTCTCCTCAGATGGGCAATGACTGGGGAAAATGCGACATTAGCAGATGATGAAATATAGAAGTGTATTCACAGCGAGTCACATAGCTTATCATAAGGGTCCTGGGGAGTTGTTGACTATGACAATGGTTATGGGGTATCAGTGACTATCACGGGAGACACAATAACTTACAAAATGTCATGTCTATGAATGCCATCAAATTATGCAAATTTAATGCTTTCAGATAAATATTTTCCAGACACCCACAATTCCAATACATACAAATAGCATTTTGGCTAATTTTGTAACGTTATATATTTCTTTTCCTGATTTTGTACTGAAAGGAAATAATAAAGAGTTTTAAAACGGGAGGGTCGTCACCTGCGCGAGAATTGAGTCCCAGGCAACGATGACAACACACACTAAAAATGCAAAGGCTCATGGGTAGACGTTTGTTTGTAAGCAATGACACGCTATGACCATCCGACGCATGCGCAGGTGATGACTCCCCTCGCTTTAATACTTCAAGAATAAGATGGCATAAAAACAAGTTGAGCTGATTCGTAAAACAGCAAAACACGCGGGTAATAATCACAATCTATAATTCATCGTTCTTTACGTTGCTTGATCAGAATTTTTGAAAAATACAAGTTTAGTATCTGAATAGTAAAGAGAGTTGATTGTGCTGGTCAAAAGGTTAAAGTGAGACACATTATGACAAAGATTTGTCTAATTGGTCAGTGTGTTCTAGCCAGGTGTTCAGGTACTTTGTATGGTAATTTAATTTCCTAATATGGCGTCTACACAAATGTGAATATTCAGGTTGGGAAACGTTCTACAAGAATGATGTTTACGAAAATTGCAGTTTCATTAATAAATTATAATATTTACTGAACGTTTATAATTTGAAAGAAAATTATTGGCACAAAATTGAAGGAATCATCTATTTGAAACTTTCAGCACTAAAAACACGTTTTAAAAACACTACAAAAATAATTGCAATGATTGATTTGCTATTGTAATTAATTACTTTGGGTAAAATCTGAATACAAAATTTTATTTTCTCAGGAACAATAGACTAGTAACTTCATTGGTGCTTGAAATCATAAAAACAAATGGTAGATTTACAGTTGATTGCTACCTGAAGAGGGCAGCATTCACACAACCTTGATTGCACATTGAAGTATTATTTACAGTTCAAACTATTTGTCTTTCTTTGATTCAATATCTTCTCCCAAATCTTCACCAACATCTTCCATTTTAACATCTGTCTCTGCTCCATCCTCCTCTTCCATTTCTTCTATTACAACGCCTTTTTTTAATTCTGTATCAATGTCTGCTGGTCTCCGCCTTTCCGGTCTTGGATACTGCGATGGACTTGCAGCTTGGCTTTGTCCATCAACAGACATACCCAATGCATCTCCAAACCCTCCTTTTGCAGCTGAAGGTAAATTGTACAATGATTTTACTTCAGTATCTCAACTAAAATGAAAATCCTACACAAGTGCTGCCATCAAACCACAATCCCTGCACATATATACCTGTCTTCTGAACATTGCACACAGGTAACTGTCCTTTGAATCACAATGTACACAGGTAACTGTCCTTTGAATCACAATGTATACAGGTAACTGTCCTTTGAATCACATTGTACACAGGTAACCAACCTATGAATCACAGCACACAGGTAACTGACCTTTGAACTGTATTGCACAGGTAACTGACCTTTGAACCACACTGCACACAGGTAACTGACCTTCGAACCGCACTGCACACAGGTAACTGACCTTCGAACCGCACTGCACAAATGTTACTGACCTTTGAACCCAACCCGCACAGGTGATTGACCTTTGAATCCACAACACAAATTGCAACTGACTTTTGAACCCCACTGCTCAAAGAGTGACTGACCTTTGAACCACACTGTACACAGGTAACTGCCATTTGAACCCTGCTGCACACCACACATAGGTGACTGACCTCTGAGCCACACAGCACAAAGGTAACTGACCTTTGAACCATACCGTAACTGACCTTTGAGCCCTGTTTTGCAAAGGTAACTGACCTTCGGACCCCACTGCGCAAAGGTGACTGACCTTTGAACCACACTGCACAAAGGTAGCTAACCTCTGAACTACAATGCGCACAGGGAACTGACCTTTGAACTACACTGCACAAAGGTGACTGACCTTTGAACCACACTGCACAAAGGTGACTGACCGTTGAACCACAAACCCTGTGCACAAATGTTAAACTCACCTTTGAACCAGTTTTCATCAGCCATAAGCAACGCATCACTTGTCATCTTCCAGAATTGACTATACATCTCAGCACACCCGGCACCAGCAATCACAAATATGACTACAATTAGCAATTTCCATTTGTAATTCTGAAAATGAAAAAAACACAGAATTTCAAGACATGACAGTTTGAATATTGATTTCGAAACTACGTGAATATGAATTTCGGTACATGAAGATTTGAATATACATTTTGATTATATCGTACATGGCAGTTTGAACATTTGATTCAACAATACACAACGATTTGAATATAAATCTTGATCACATGATTTGAATATTGAGTTGGTACATGATAATTTGAATATGGAGTTGGTACATGATGATTTGAATATGGAGTTGGTACATGATAATTTGAATGTGGAGTTGGTGGAGTTGGTACATGATGATTTGAATATGGAGTTGGTACATGATAATTTGAATATGGAGTTGGTACATGATGATTTGAATACGGAGTTGGAACATGATGATTTGAATACGGAGTCGGTACATGATGATTTGAATATGGAGTCGGTACATGATGATTTGAATATGGAGTCGGTACATGATGATTTGAATATGGAGTCGGTACATGGTGATTTGAATATGGAGTCGGTACATGATATTTTGAATATGGATTTTCATACATGATGATTATGATATTGACTTTGAAATGAAGCGCATCCCTTCTATTGCATTGTACCATTTAATAGAAGCTGCATGTTCTACTGTAAAATTCCTAATTTAATTAAAATTCATTTTTTCAATGGGCGAATTCAGATGTGTGAAGTCTTGGTGCGGCTTTAATTAGAGCAAGGAGCTGTAATGAGAGCATTTACTTTGATAACAGTAGGAATTTTTTTCAGAAAACAAAGGGATAAATGATATGCTAATGAGATGCACAACACTCGATTGCAGCTTTGTTGCAATTCTAAGCGCACTTTTGGATTGTTACAGACAAACTTCACACTGTAACATACTGCACAATAAATAATATCTACAAATAGATTTTTACGCATTCGCAGATTACGGTACCATATACCATACTCGACCGTGTTATCGCCCATGCCCAGGCAAGCGCCCACCCCCCCACTTTTGCGCAATTTTATATTTGGGGTCACATTCGGCAAAGCGCCCACCCCTTCAAAATGCAACTAATTTAAAACTTGGTCTTGCG